AATTTTTATTCACTTGTAAATGATATAATATAGTACTCAAAGCAGCACGTTAGGTTGGGTCAATGATGTTCAACTTCCACAGTTGAACTCTTAAAACATTAAGGCTTATAATCAAGTAGAAAATTTGTGTGTCAAGCTTGTTAATTGATTCGTTTCACATCTACCTCTATGGGCACAAGCAGCTCGTCTGCCTTGAAGAAAAGTTCTCGCTATGGTGTGCCACGAAAGCTGGCATTTTTCAAGGCGACGTATTGTCTCCCTTTTATTTGCAGTCTTTATTAATTCTATTTCTCAAAATCTTTCGTGTTCCTACCACCTGCATGCAGACGATCTTCAGATTAACTGTAATGCACCATTCTCAAAAGTAGCTGAATCAGTAGTAAATATTAATCTCAATCTTCAATGTATCGAAAAATGAGGTAAAGCCTTTGGTCTGAGTATCAACCCTATAAAAACTCAAGTAATAGTAACGGGTAGCTCCAGATTACTCTCCAAGGTTGACTTATAGCTACTTCCGCAAGTTGTTTTCTATGGTATGGATCACTTCAATGAATAGACTACGTAACTTTTTAACTACTGCAATCTTTGCTGCTTCCTATCCTAGATTATGTCAATGCCTGTTACCTTTTTCTCTTGGAAGACGAGCTAAATAAATTTGAGCGTTTCAAAACTTTTATATCAAGTTTATATTTAGCTTGCGCAAATATGACCATATTTCTCAGTATCGCATAGAGCTCAAGAGGCTTCATATACGTCTTCGCTGAAAACCTCATATATTATCACTTATTTACAACATTATGTTTAATCCCAGTTACCCAAACTATCTCAAAGATAGTTTCAATTTTCTTCACTCTGCAGATTCATATGCATTGCGATCATCTGAGAATTCTTGAGATTCCATCTCATTGCACTTCCATTTTTGATTCCTCATTTACCGTCCAAGTTGCTAGTTTCTGGAATTCCCTCCAAGTTTTGATCAGGAGAGCCCAAACTCTACCAATATTTAAAGTAAACGTCAAAGGATTCTACCTTTCGCAATAATCACTTTGCTGCTACCGTACTATTACTTATTCCTAATATGGAAATATGTATATATATATTGTTTTGCTTTCACTACGAATAGACGAATGGGAGCTGTGATTTGCTCACAGGATACATGCAGGACATCATGTGCAAAACACCAATATGGGCAGTATATTGGTGCAAAACTGTACAATAAAATAAACAAAACAGTTTATTAATATTAATGGCAAACCAAAACATACAGTAAATCAGATAGTACAAAATAAGCTTCTAACATTTTTTTTCGCTAATCAACAATAAGGGAGTGTCTTTTAAAATAAATATGAAACGCGCATAAGTACACATAATTACATACACCCGTATGCACCCTCATACACACACTCAAAAATATTTTAACTTCGCTATGTATAAATTGAACAGAATCGAATAGGGAGAATGGGCCATCATGACCTACCACGCGGTCATTGTAGATTGGCGAGTGGTAATGACTGCAAATACTGGCAGGACCAAATCTTAATGTAACTTGCAATGCACAAATAAATATATTCGTAAATTTTTAGTCACCCATCTTAATACCAGCCCTAGCAAAAGTTGCCGTTCCGTATTTTAGACTAAAGCATTAGCCACTGCGCCATCAAGCTCCTCTATGAGACAAGTCAAGACAAGGCAATGGAGTCACAGAACTCGCCTTCGAAATGACCAAGATGATTAAGAAAAGAAACTTGGTGTTGGTTACTGATTTAGTAAGCATAAAAATAACTACCTAGAATCTCTCATCATCAAGAAATTGTTCAGAACCCAAAGTAGGAAGAGGTTAAGACTTTAAGCGTAATATTTCTTACGAAAACTGCATGAAATTGGAAATATTTTTCGAATATTAGTAATATTAGTTTTATGGCTTGTTAAAAAAAGATTAAATTTTATAATCTTAAATTAATCGTGATGAATACCCAATAATGGCCTTTTAAAATCTAATGTTTAATATCATAAATAGAGCTAGTATTATTATAAAATATTCTTTAGACGGCGTTAAATTATTTAAACAATGTTATTGCAGACCCACGCCCAAAGTGTGTGGATTTAATAATACCATATCAAGCGAGCGTTGATTTTTTGAATATCATTCGTATTAGACTACCGTAACTAATCTAATTTCTAATTTTTACAGAAATAATTCAATTGTTTTACGAACATACGTTCTCGTTTATGTATTGTGAAGCAACAGTCATTATAACTATTTCTTAAATTGTTTATCTTCATGAGACTAACCTTGAGATTATAAATTGATTGAATAGCTTTTTCTGAAGCATAAAAATCGTTTGTATGTTGGCAGCATTTACCACATTGTACTGTGGAAGTAGGTGACTATTTTGGCGGTATCCACATTAGTCAATTAGCGCATCTTCGTTACAGCATATGCTGCAGACTTAAGTTTGTCACACATTTACCCATACGTGGATCCCACTGATGTTTGGAATGAAGTCAGATAATACTGAAATATTCACAAGATTAGCGTCCCTATCCTTTATATTCTTATGTCTGCCCGTTTAACATTAGGCAATATAAAATTAGATATTTTTTCCTTACATTAAGAACATTATTCACATTGAACCATTGTACTAATCTGGTGATAGCATTGTTCACATCGTTTTTGTGTGATATTTTCTTTTAAATTTAAATTGCAAATAAAACTATTCCGTTAAAAAATAAGGAAAGTTATATTTAAATAAAAATCAAGAAAAGACCAAGGATAAGGCTCTTTGGAATACCAATTTTTACGTTATTATACATTAAACTATATATCATTATATAATTTGTTGGAAGATCTGAAGAAAACGTTACAAATATAATTGAAAATATTATACAGACAGGCAGACTGCGTAGAAATTTTATGAATTAGGTACACTTAAAAAACTGAGAAATTTTTTAATATATACAATGATGTGTATGAAAATACACTCTGTATTAAGCCTTTATTGCAGTAGACATCCGTTTTAGTTTAAAACCCGAGCTAAAATCAAATATCTGTAGCCACTTTATTATGTACGACGTTAGGTTGACTTTAGTTAGTATATGTGTTATCACCTACTTTTGTCAAAATCAATTCGAAAAATTGTTTGTTTAATGAGGAAGTATTTAAAAAAGAACATTAGTTCCCGAAATCAAACAAGATGTCGCTACGGTACGTTCTTGATTTCTCCATGACAACCCTTCCGGTTTTCTTTCATGTTTAAGAGTAAATTAGTTTTCAAAACTCAATAAACAACTCATATCTTATTTGTACTTTTTCGTATTTGTATTGATATCCAAGTTTCGAATTTTTCAAATTTCAGTTTTTTAATACCTATGTTAGTTAAAAGGAACGGAAATGACTGTCTTTGGTCCACTCTTTTCCTGCAAAAATCAACTTTTGCTAGAGTCGCCATATAGTGGAGGTGCTTTTTAGTGCTTTCGTTTTTTTTTTAATACTTCCTCATTGTGTGAATATTCTTTATTTATATGAAGTCTTCCAAATGATTCGGTGACATCACAGATGTGACATAGTGGCAGTTTTAGGTGAATATATTATATGTAATAATAGAAATAAATTTAAAAACTTAGTGATATATTGTTTTAAAAAATCATGATCAATAACATTAGTTTGATTGACGAACTTTACAATGTAACTATGTCAGTAGGTGTTGGCATGAATATGTACCTCAAAACAAAAATTATGACCAAAGATAGGACATAGTGGTTTCAGTAAATGTAATTGGATCGGAAAACGCCCTGGATGAATTTGGACAGGATGCTAACGCCGTATGGATAAAAATGGGATGAAATGCATTCAGCAAATTATTATATTCGGGAGTGATATAACAAGCTTTCGGGTAGTGCATCTTGCCTCATCTCGTATATGGAATGGAGACATGGACACTGACCAAATAACACATGCACGACTTACAGGTAGCCCAGTAATAGGGAAATACACAGATGCACCGACGAATCATGTAGTAAGTGTCGATCGACGGGGTACGTGACCCGCAGGACAAAACGTCGGTGGAGCCACGAGATATTGAAATGGGAGTTGCTGCCGAGAACAGGTAAGAGAAATGTCGGCTAGCAATGAGCTGGACGAGCAGATGATAACTCCAAAGTGGCGGGGAAGAACTGGCAAAGAAAAGTGACTGGCAATACCTTCATGATTGGCGCAGAACAGAGGAGACCTTTACTCAGGAGTGAGTAGATGAGGGTTGAAGAAGACGATTGTTAATAACGGGATTATTACCATATACCTTATAATTATCAAGTCTCTTGCAAGAGCCATGATCTCGGTATAACTAAAGTTTTTGAGGGTGAGCGTTATTGGCATATTTATCAATCTACTCGTATCATCTATCTAGTCCTCTTAAGTTCGATACTCGTACTACTGTTTACTACATCACCACTAAATCGCACTTGTTGTCGACTGTTCTTTAATTCTTATGAGTAGCCCCTGAAAAAGTTTATTAACATTCTTGTTGCAGACCGAATGCGCCATCGAGATCCTGTTAATTGCATACTGTAAAGCTCGTGTCTGTTACTGTGTAGTGTATGTAAGTATAAAAATAAGTACCTATACTATCTCATTATATAAAAATTGTTCAGTTCCCAATATTAATAGTAGAAGAGGTAAAGACAAATTTAAGTTTAATATTTCCAATGAAATCAAATTTTAACTGATAAAATTTTTGTTTGAATGGTAATATCAATTATAATAGCTTTTTGTTTTTAAAAAAACAGCAAAAGCTTTATATTCTTCTTTTTATTTAATTAATTGTGATGAATGATTCCAATAATGGCCTTCTGAAATCTAATGTTTAATATCATAAATAGATCCAGTGTTATTTGTTACATTTCTTAGACGGCGTCAAATTATTTAAATGTTATTGCAGATTCATGTCTACAGTGGGTGGATCTAACAATGATATATAAAGCGAGCGTTGATTTTTTGAATCGCATTCGGACTAGAATATCGAAACTAAGCAAACTAATCAAAATGAAATTCGCAGTAAGTAAACTAGTAGTCAAAAACTTTGTATTATTTTTAAATATTTTAGAATTTTAAAATTAAAATCGAAGAAAATAAAAATTAGTTTAATTTGTAATAATCAATTATGACACAATGGAAAAAAAAGCTTTCTTGAACAGTGTTAGAATGAATTTTAAATATTTTGTAGGTGGTTGCATTAGTATGCATGGTGGTTGGTGCTAACGGTGCGCTCACGACTTTTGGATCGCCTTTCGGGTCACCTTTTGGATCGCCCTTCCGTGGAACACCCGTACGGCCCCGTCCCGTACCGGTGGTACCTGAACCTGTACGAGTGGTACCCAGGGTTGCTGACGCTCGCAATGCCGCCATTTTGAAATCTGGCAACGAAATCAATCCCGACGGCAGCTATAGCTACTTGTAAGTATTAGCTTGTAAACATTATCATATACCAAGAAATATTTTGACATTTGATACATATTATATAGAAAGAATTATGCGTGTTTTAAAGAATTAAAAAAAAAACTTTTTGTAGGCTATAAAATTTGTTAGGGATGAACCTAATCATAATTGAAAATACATCAAATATCAAAATATACACAAACTTTGACATGGCTCTGGTATTGTTTTTACCCGAATTGGTATTCAAATTTTTATGCATGCCTTTGCACCCATAAAAAATTACATTTTATTTGTTTTTATAAGACCTTTTTTGCATATGAATTTACGAAGTTAATGAACCATAACTTCTGACTTTAATGGAAAAAAATACAATAATTTTGCTACATTGTAGGGATAACTTGAAGGAAATACATTTTGAAAAAAATGGTTAATTTTGTAGCTCTTATTATTTAAATTAAAAAATACGTTTTTTTTTACAAATTGATCCACTAGTTACACTAGGATGTGATTATTTCAAGGAAGTTGCAAAAATAATAGGCATATGATTTATGCAAACTGGATCTCTTTATGATTCAAAGCGAATAACATTTTTTATTCAGATTCCAAGATATTATATATTACAAATACAATGCACGTTTTGTTCTAAAATAATGCAATATAGAAGTAAATATATACAACCTTCTTTTTTAGTGTCTCTTTTGATACATTTTGTCGGATCATTATTATTTAAACTTGGTATCTAAGTTAGTCTTCGTAATATAATAAGGTTAGGTTGCCTTCTTTCTTTTTGTGATAACTATAAGATTGCTGGGTAGAGATAGAGAAATGAGAAGATTTTTTCATAAACCTATATACCGTATCTCTGTTTGGTAAAGCTGCTTTATTTTTTCGTTAAAAATAACAACTGGGTCAATATTTAAGAAAACTGTCATCATCATCAACATCATCAGCCCTTTTACGTCCCCACTGCAGGTTATGATGTTTTCTATATTTGAATATTTCAGTAAAGGATCATTGTGTTTAAAATTGAGATGCTATCTAAGCTGTCTTAGTACATTTTCAGACATATTAAGCTTAATTAAAGGTTTCCATGAAAAACGTCATATATTTATTTGATACCACAGAGTACAATACACTGAATATTTCACACCCACACGTTCGCTTGTTGCATTCGTAAGTATAATAAAATAATTACCTTTTTTTAGTTATGAAACTGAAAATGGTATCGCTGCCCAGGAGCAGGGTGTGCCCCGCAACTTTGGTGGAAACCCCCCTGTAGTCCCTGATGTAGCCCAAGGCTCATTCTCGTGGACCTCACCCGAGGGTCAAGTAGTCTCCATCACGTATGTCGCCGACGAGAATGGATATCAACCCCAGGTAAAATTCATCTCCAAGAAAATATTCTCAAAAATGTTATACTTAAAAAGAAGTTTCTAAATTTACAGAGTAATTATATAAATTAGCTAGGTTTTGATTATGGAAATTTTGTTTTTCAGGGCTCAGCCATCCCTACTCCTCCACCAGTGCCCGCTCAAATCGCTAGGGCTTTGGAATACATTGCCAGGAACGCACACTAAATAAAAATATTCAATGGACCATGTTCGAAGCTAAACAATTGTGATACTTGACACCGTAAATTTATCGATATTTTAATAGACGCTCATTCTTCGAGTGCCAGTTTAGGATAATAAAATTCTATAAATAAAAAGTTTATTTTTTATTTAAGTACATAAATACAATTCCAGGAATAAAAAAATATCACCCAAAATCTATCTCTCTATCCTCCAAATAAATAAAAGGAAAGATTTCATTGTTCGGTTGAATAGAGGTTTCAAAGCTAGTGGACAAATTTTAAAAATTCTTACACCTGCGAGCAGCTGCATCGACATAGGCTATAATTTATGCGGGAGGCTCGTCGCGGGAAAACCTCTAGTGTCATATTATAATACATATATCTGTGTGACGTGACGCATCTTTTGTCGGATACATAACGAACTTTTCAAGTAGCATACAGCGATGTGATTATCCGATCATAACAATATAGAGTTTAAGAACTATAAAAATGAAAATAAAACTGATACAAAAATAAAAAATATTGGTTTATATCACAGTGATTGAATCATATATTCAATTAATTATTTTTAATTACTGCATGTAGTGTTAAACTAAACGTGTGTAGGAAAAGGCAACAGTCTGCAAATGTGATCTGTTCGGGAAGGGGATAAACATTGATCTATTAAGTGAAATAGAAATATATAAGAATAACATTATCAAGAGCGAGAGTTTGTTGAAACTTGAATTTTGTTTTCTATTTACTTATGATGTGTTGTAATTGGGTCCGATTGAGAACACTTTTTGTCGTTGTCGCTCCCGTCATTAGATCTCATAAGATAATATATTTCTATGACTGTATAATCGTGGTTATAAATTTTAATTGCTTAGTAATATAATCAAATATTTTATTATTGTAATTTTTGTTTCTTTGATCTATTATTACGTTCGTTCGGCACGATAATATAAAGTCGGCAATTTCTATTAATTACAATCAACAGCACGTTAGGCGAAACAAAACTGTCAAAATTCTTGACTCGATTTTAAAACCTCAATAGACGGCAGAGTTCAAAATCAATTGATGCAATTTGACATATTGTGGTAACCTAATACTTTACCTAGTGCACCCATGTGTATATTTTATTTTAAGTATCGACCTAAACCGATCAAGAAATATGTAAATATTTTTTTTACTTATTAAAATTTGAATATATTTATGTTTCAGATTTTAACTTTTCATATATTTTTAGGAAGCCTTAGTGTTTCTCATCTATTATGATTTTTGTGCTGCTTCATAGAAAGCTGTTTTAATAATATCGTTATGGTAACAATAATAATGTCCTTGTAAATCACACCCACAAAACGTTTATATTCATACTACAAATTTTTAAAGAATATCGTGACTTTGACCTTAAGTATTAAGTTACTTCCTTATAGGTAGGTAACTAAAAATAGATCCCACGTAGTACGCTACATTCTTAAAATTTGAAGTCTAGATAAAGATAGGTAGATTTTAACTAATGGTTCATACTTATATACTGGTTAATATTATCCCATGAATAGTAAAGTCTCAAATATAATTTCACGAAAATGTTATAAAATTAAACAACTTCTTTTATCCGAGCACTCTTTGAAAGTTTTATGTGGTATTATTCAGGTATTGTGGTCGTATTCCAAGCTTCCTTGAGAGCATTTTACACATCGTCTTGTTTTTCTTATTTCTTTAGCTTTACTTATTTTGAAATTTAATTGATTACTATTTCATTAAACTAATAATAAAAAAAATTGTACATATTAACTGTCATTGCATAGAGAGGGCGGAGCACAGAGGCATAAAGTTCAGTTTTATCAAATAAATCATAATTCAGGCACATACACTAATCAATAAAAATAAAAAAAAAAACAAAAAGTGTAAAAATTTAATAAAAAATAAAAGTTCCAGACATAATTAAATATAATTGGGGCGTGCCTTCAGTCGTATTGTCTACAAATTACAATAAGAACTTGGGTGGCTTGCAGTGCTTATATAATAAATTCAGAGTCCAACTCGAACAGTATTATCACAGCATACAAGTTTAATTATAGGTTTTATTTCATTCAATCGAGCTGCGTCGTGTTCGGGGATATTTATTACAGACCTAAGTTTCTGACAGCGATTTTGTCGGCGTGGTCAGAATATACACGTTATACATATTAACCTTCCTTTTGAATCGGTAACAAACGTTAATAATTCTTCATACATTTTCGCGTTTATGTTTTTATTATAATTTGTGAGATTTGGTGAAAAAAAAAATATTTTTATAAATGATAAGACACATTTTGTTGTCTTAAAACCGTTTTCCGCGCATTTTCTTCTGTGTTTAGTATTGCTTGATAATAATATACAGGCGTAATATTGCGGTAAGCTTTTAATTAACGCAATGCTAACCAATTCTTATTTAATTAAAGCTTCTGCTAATCTCGCAATAAACGAACTCTTTCTCTTTGATTAGATATATCTGCGTAGGAGTAAGTAACGATTGAATGCTAAGAACAATAATAAAGAATAAACTTGCTTATTAAGATTAATTATGAGAAACCAACCAATAAAGAGCCTTTAATGACTACAATTCTGCTGAATCATCCGGATCTCTATCTTGTATAGACAAATAAAAATAGTACAAGCTTGGCAGGGTTATGTTAATTTAATATAAATAGATACTAGAAAACATCACACACATTGGTCAGTAGATAAATCTGAGACAATGAAGGTACCACAACACCCAGATCCGAGACAATGTAGAAAGTACATTTTCTATATTGACACTACTGGGAATCAAACCCGGGACCTCAGATATGTCGGCACCACAAAACCGGCGTGAGCCACTCGGCTACGGAGGTCATCATTTAATTACAAAATTTCCCATAGCCACCTTAGAGTTTCAAAACCGGACCCCATGGCCTGATTGTTGAATTTTAAAATCTATCACAATCATTTTAAATTTTACTTTAAAAGGTTATTCACGAACTTCACTACGACCATTTTACATATGAAAGTGTCTGTTATCATGCCGATTTTTGAAAGACATTAAATGAACAATAACGTTTATTTGAGGTTAATAGGAATTTTTATAAGTTATTAGGAAATGTCAAACGAAATTAATTTCTATGAAATTTATGTCGTTCAAATCAATACTCATTCGAAAACTATTGACTTTAAAAGTTACACAATTCCTTAAATCACTATACGTTTGAAAGGGATTGTGATAAATTTTAATATAAGACAATTAGGCCACTGGATATTATTTTACTTTGAGTCATTGTCAAGACAAATCATGACCCCGATCTTGTTAGGGTTGCTTCGTTTAATTATAGAGGTACCGTGGCTACATTCCAGCTCCATTCCATATTAATATTATATTGTTATCCAAGTTGTCTATGCAGAATTTCAGTTCAGTTGGACATCGGACAAGTGGGTTTTTAAGTAAGTGAGTGGATGGTCTAGTAGCTCGGCGGCGTAGTAGATAAGCGCCGCGGCCCACGATCGTTGTTGTTAAGTAATTGGGCGAGGGTCGATCACGGGATGAGTGATTAAAAAAATTATTATCTCGAGCTACTCCCTGCTTCGGAAGGCACATTGAGCCGTTGGTCCCGGCTGTATTTGCAGTCGTTAATACCCTTCAATTCGCATTAGGCCAGCGTAAAAGGTCCAGGCTCACACTTCTTTACTGTCCATAAGGAGGACCTGAGCCTTTGTAGAGGGGATGTAAAAAGGGCTGATGATGACGATGAAGTGGGTTTAACTTACAAGATTTAAACCTTACTAACTAATAAGGGAAGTTAAATAAGAGCTTATCTGTATTAATTTTATAAAGAGGAAAGTTTTGATTGTTTGTTTGTTTACATCGAATAGGTTCAGAAACATCGAAACATAATACACGATTGACATAAGCTTATACGCTATAAGTATCTTGGCCAGTTAAGGGAAACAGCTAGTAATAAAAAAGAGGAAATAAATCAGAATAAATCAAATTCATTTGTCTATTTTAAAACAAAAGTACTGAAAGTATTTTGCTAAATAGTACTTCGACGACTTAGTTATATCATTGAATATTTTGCAAATATAATATTTGTGAGATATTGTCATAATTCGTGTAATTTTTTTTAACCAATAGATGAATATTTGTGTACGGTTCCGTACAATTTTGCCTTGTTTACATAATTATTGAGGTCATCATTCACATTACGTTATTGATTATTATATTAATAAAATGAGTGCGAATTTAGCAACCGTGTATAACTAACGTCCAGTAACAACCACTTTAACTTACTTTACTGTGTACGTGAATAAATGGTGTTAAATTATCTCAAGATTTCATCTTTCTGCACTCCACAACTCTATATAAACAATACTACTCCAGTAATTACAATACCCAACTAACACCGTCTGTACAGCATTACAAACTATACATTGTGGTCCTTCGAGGAAGAACAGGGGGTAAGTGTTTATTGCTTTCCATTTGCGATAGCGAATCGGTTTGACTGGCCTCCCACAAGCGGGTCTCACCAGTTCAATTGAGAAGGCGCAAATATCGTTCTTGGATTTCAAAGCATTTATCCACCTATAAGCGACTATCGAAGTCACTTATTTTAACTTACTTACTTACTTACAACAAAACATCGACGTTGATTTAACTACTCTGATTGAAGATAAAACTGATGAGAAGACTAAAGAACTTATGTTACAACAAGAAGCGAGATTTAAAGCTTTGAATAGAACTATGAAGAAGATTAACCTAGAATTCATCACAGAGAAGTGGGAATTAGAAGACTACTTATCGACGTTGAAAACTAAGTGGGATAATATTGAAAAAACTCACTGGGAAATAGAAGGTATTATTAAAGATCAGAGCTTAAAAGAACAATATAACCAGAGGTTTGAAGACATTGAACAAAGGTATGACGATGTAAGAAAAACATTAAACAGCAAAATGTGGTCAAATGTTCATTATCAACGAGCAACGCCACAGATAGAAATTCCTGAGTTTTCCGGAAACTATATTCAGTGGATATCTTTCAAAGATATTTTTTATGAAGCCATACATAGCAACCCTACAATTCCGAAGTCTCAAAAAATGCAACATTTAAAAACGAAGCTAAAGGGTGAAG